GAGCTTCCCTAGGAGAGCATACATATTAAGCTCATGAAGACGGATTCGGTCCAGCAGATGAGTTCGGCTCAAGCCCACTATGTCCAAACAGACCTAGCATGTCCCGAGTAAAAAGAAAGGATCAACATGAAGAGTGCAAATGCTTGCAATTGAAAATAATGAGTAGAATAAATGGAATAAAAATGAGCACTGTTCAAGAATTGCACTTTCAAAACAACAATGGTCAGTTTTTTTTTTCGATTTTGTGATAGTGCCTTTACAGTTAAATCGATTGTGTGATGAAGGAAATTTTTTACAGTTAAATCGATTGTGTGATTTAGGGAATCTTTTACAGTTAAGTGTGTGAAATATCTTTTACAGTTAAATCAATTGTGTGATGAAGAAAATCCTTTACAGTTAAATCGACTGTGTGATTTAGGGAATCATTTACAGTTAAATCGATTGTGTGAATTGTCCTTTACAGGCTTGAATGCGGTTCTTGAAACTTCTCGTTGGGATAAGGTGTTTCATAACTCTTACTTGATGCAATGTTGGTACTCCTTTGATGTGCAGATCCTTACTTAAGGTATTTGGAGGATTGATAATACGCACAACCGGGATTCTAACTTGTGGGCAGAGACAAGTTTACCGTTTAAACTTCTTAGTGTTGTGGACGGGAATTGTACTTCAACATTCGGATCGAGGAAAGAGCACTCTTTTTCTTGACGGAACACAACTATGGCGTCAAGTGGTGCGTAATCAGAATATCCACGGTCCCACGACTTTTGTTCACTACCGGTCATGTAACATTAGAGAACCCCAACAATCTTTTTAATCTCAAGTTTATCAAGTTCAATAATGTAGACTATATCTTTTGTGATTTTACATTGAACCATTTTGAAGAAAATGAATCATTTTGAGAGAAAAAAGGTTCAGAGAACAGTACCATAACAGAAAAAGCCTATCCTCATCCGCGAGCTACAAGAATGATACCATAGTAACCAGCTCGTGTTGCACAATAGTTTCCAACGATCCTGTTTCAAAGTATTAAGAAAAGAAGACAACTAATCAAACATCAAGTGGCTACTAGAAACTGGACTATTGCAAAGGCCATTGACTCTATTAGAGACAACAGATGTAAAGGAAACTGATAAGAAAAGTTCAAAACCTTATTAACTTTATTAACCCTATCAATGGGTTCCATCTTCTTGACATCCAATAAGCATGTTTCTGGATAATATTCAAAATGTCTAACACACATCTTGGATAATAAAAGTAAAGCTTCCTAAAGTAAGTAGACACATGCAGAATAACATAACAATGGTCAAGATAGAAACCTGGGGATCCATATGGCACAAATCAGATGAGCCCAGCGCCCGTCAGTTGTCGGCTTCATAGCGCCACCTGAAATATCTTTTGTTGGTCACTAATGAAAGCATATAAAGAATATACCAAAAGAGTTTTAATCAAATTACAAACTACAGGACAAAGAAAACATCGTGGAGGAGTATCAAGAGTGTCAGGACGACACAAGTTACACAACCACGCCATCACGAGGTTCTAGCTGCCCAAAGCATCCAGCATGGACCTAGTCCAGGAAAAAAGGTTGAATTCATCTAGAAAAAAAGGATGCCAGCCACTATAGAATATAGATTTAAAAGGATATGTAATAACAAATAACTCAGAGAAAGAGCAATATCATCATTCTACATTTATCACATTGCAGGAACAGATTGCTCTCATACTCCTGCAGACATGGAAAATATAAGTCAGAATTCACTTATCAAGGCGTACAAAATTAGACGAACATACTAAACGTTCCACCAAGAAAGAAGCATTGATAACCTCATCCATGCGACAGACATTGCACTTATCAAGATCTTTTCAGTCAACTTGTACAGGTCGGTTACCAGTAGGATGATCTTGATACTTCCCCGAACTATATTTGCGCTTATAAACTTTGGACGTTGGTTTGGATTGTAATAGCCCATGCCGATTAGATAAAGGCTTATGAGAGGAATAAAAGTGACCCAATTTCTAGTGTCTAGAACGCCTAATCGGAGCCTAAATGATTTAATAGACAAAAATACATAATATATGAGATATATATAAAAAAATATATAAAAACCATAATTTATAACTAATAAAATTTATATTTTATTTTATATTCATCATTTTATAGCCAAATATATACAATTTTACTTTATATATAAGAAAATTTATATTATTTTATTGTTATAATACCTAAATATTTTAAGCAGCAAAAACGGTAATCGCCACGGTCTATAAGAGCCTAGCGTCTAAGCGCCGCCTAAACGAACGCCTAGAACGCTTTTTAGAACACTGAAAATGAGAGAAAAAGTTGTTCCACTCATTCCTATGCTATTTAGTGGAGGAATTATTTTCAAAAATA